AAAAAAAAAAAAAAGTAGCTCTACAGAAGAATTCTTAAGACATCTATTAACCAACACAAAGGAACAGATGTGGCAGTAATATGCCTGGAAGGTCCATTTCTCTTACAATTCAGCCCATTATTATTCACAAGAAGTGTATGGGACTTCACATTCTTTTAACCAAATCAGCTTACATATATGAGTTCTAATCTAGTTATATAAACTAAAAGCACCATTAAATTTTTAACAAAGAATTTTTTTTATAAACTATCCAGCTCAATTTGTAAATCTACATTTTTTTCAGATTGATTGTAAAGACACATCATTCCTCCCCCTTTTTAAAAATACAAGCTTATTACATGTACCTTCATGTTTTGACTTTATAGTGTTGACTTGGTAGCATTACAATTGCTATAGCAATTTAACAGAAAAAAAAAGTGTGAAGAAAAAAAACAAAAAAAAATGTAAAAGCTAAAACCAAGGTTGACTGGTTTCTAATATTAACAACTCACAACTTGCCTAAATTCTTCTCTGAGTACACTCTTCACCAGGCCACTTCATTCCATCCTATGTGAATTCAGCTAATATAGATATAATTAACTTCTTTGTACCAGTCTGGGCCATGTTTACCCTCATTTAATAGGTTAAAAAGCAAAACATACTGGGTGCCAATGGTTCATACCTGTAATATAGCTACTCAGGAGGCTGAGACCTGAGATAGTGATTCAAAGCCAGCCCAGGCAGGAAAGAAAGCCTGTGAGACTCTTATCTCCAATGAACCACCAGAAAACTGAAGTGGCACGGTGGCTCAAGTGGTGGAGTGTTGGCCTTGAGCTGCAGAGCTGAGGGACAGCGCCCAGGCCCAGAGTTCAAGCCCCAAGTTATATTCACAACAAACCAGATCCCCTTTATCTTGAAGACCAACAGTAAAAGTGATGGCACCTTCTAGGAGTCTGCCTTGTAAAACTAAAAAGAATAGAGATTGACCAAAGCACACCAGGGGTCTGAGGCCCACAGTCCATGTCCCCACAAAGCCTATAGCTCACACCCTGTAGTCTACAGCCCAGTCCACAGTCCATAGCCAAATCACACCCACCAGCTGACTCTGTACCTAAAGTTTTACTGGAACACAGGCAAGTCTCATATGAGAATTATTTATAAACTGCTTGTGCCACATGGCAAAGTTGAGTCATTATGACAGTTTGGACTAAAAGACCTAAACTATTTGGATGCTACTTGGTCCCTTTAAGAAAAACATCTGTAAGCCTGGTATATGCTGATTCTATGTAACATAAACAACAATTGTGCCAATACATAAAATCCAACATTGTAAACCAGCAAGAGAATACAGCTTATTTTTTACAACCACTGCTATCAGGCTAGAAGGACTTACTTAGAAAGAAAGGTAGCAGGAATTTACAAAGAACATGCTGATGAGAAAGCTGGGAGGTAGGTTTTCTGTCTGAGAGTAAGGAGTTCTTAGTAAGGGAAATGTCCTACCTCGGGTTCTGCTTTTGCTTCTTCCTTTGGTTGAGCCCCAGGGCTAATAGGCTTGACCTTGGCTTCCGTCTTTCCCTGTGAGCTCCTGGAGGTCACGGAGGCCCGGGAGGGTGGGGATGTGCTGACCATGGGCTTCACCTGAGCCGCAGGCGTGGAGGAGCACCGACTGCTGCTCATTTCCATAACGTGCGATGGTGCTATGGGTAATTCGCGCAAATTACTGTTTCTGGGAGCTGTGGGCTGCATCTGCTGCATGGGCCGTTTGGTTACATTCTGAGAGGCTGCATTCTGTCACAGGAAGGAAAGAACCCTAATTACAAGTGGACACTTGGTGGACAGAACGTAACAAGGCACATCACAAACAGAAAGTACAGTATTCTTTCTCAATGGTATCCAACTTCTCTTTTGCAGGGTCACATACTTTTTTCCTTGGCAAACACTTTCTTAGATGCATAAATACCGATGCATACCCTAATGCCAAGGACTTGAGCCAGTAAATGTACTATGTTTGCCTAGAGTCATATGTTTGCCTAGAGTCAGGCTCCTGGTTACAGAAATCATATAGATGACTTTCTGTAGCGGTTTCAGTAGGAAAGCCAAAGGCACTCTATTTGCCTCAAATCAACCAGATCAATGGCACACCATTATTCAAGGCAGAATAGTAGAGAAACCATACATTAAGTCACGATCCTACTGTAGCTATTTTTTTGTCTTTTTTTTTTTTTTTTCCTCCCCGGGGCTGAGGACCGAACCCAGGAACTTGCGCGCGCCGGGCAGGCGCCCTTCTACTGAGCTAAACCCCAAGCCCCTAAGTCAAGATCCTACTAAAAAAGTTTTCTTGGAAGCCACAGGCACAACCAGATTCTATCCAAGAAAGAATCTCAGTCACTTTCATCTTGAAGATGCTCGAGGTGTTTAAGGTGCATGAGACAGTGGGGGTGGAGTTCCAATCCCTGAGGTCCCTATGCAGGACAACAAGGCTGGCAGGAGCTGTCTGCTATTACCCAACAGCATTCCTTAAGACAAAGAGGAGGGCATTAAGCAGGCTAGTGACATGTCTAAGGCTCAGGAGTAAACAAAGGACAGCCCTTACAGCTGAGATTTGTAACTATGAACAATCCTGAACTAATTTTTCCTAAGATTAAAATTAGTTATTTCTTCTATTTTCACAGCAATATATTACTTCCTACTTTCCTTCAACATATAACAAGTCCCATACTTATTTGCTGGTGGTACCTGGGAAGGCACCCCACAAATAGACACGTTATTCTCCTACAACTGAATGCGAGCTCCTCAAAGGCAGAATTCTGTCTCCTCTGTTCTCTGCTGTATGTCCAGGAACTTCAACAGTGCCTGAGCAGGATAGTCAGCAAATGTTTCCTGAATTCATTTATTTATTCAGTGTCCAAAGAGACAGTAACAATCTATGTGTCAAAAGGCAAGCCACAGTTAGTGGTGGTGCAGGTTTTGCTTTGTTTGCTTTTTAGGGAGAATAGAGGAAGGCGACACAGAAAGAGAAGGAGGAGCAAATGCAATCATGCTATTCGTATACTATTATGTGGAAAATGAACTATGTAACTTGTGTGCAGGGACAGAAGAGGGATACTGAGGGAAAGCAAAGGAAGAGGTGACGCCAGAAAAAAGTAGTATACTCGTTACCAGACTTATGAAATAACCCTTCTGGTACAACACCTTAATAATAACAATAAAATTATGCCACAGGCAAGGGTAGAATGGCAATCATCCCCAAGTAGTCAAGTTACATGTCTGTGAGCAGCTATCATGACAGAATTATCTAGGAGGGATATGCCATACTCACTTCAGAAGATGTGCAGCACACTGGTTAATGTAAATCAAGGTGGGAGTTAGGCCCCTACTTCCACAGGTGAAGACAGTAAGGATGCTGGTACTTACGTGGCGCGGGCCCTGGCGTGGGGCACACTGCATCCGACTGCTGTTGGGCTGAGGCTGGGCAGTCTGCACATGCGGCCGGAACTGCGGCTGAGACATGGGCATCAAGGGAGGCGGGGGAGCAGAGAGGTGGTGGTGGTGCTGTGGAGGAGGCTGGTGCGTCGGAGGTGGCTGGTGCGGTGGAGGGGGCTGGTGTGGCGGCTGCAGCGGGGGCTGGTGTGGAGGCTGGTGTTGATGCTGCTGGGGCTGCTGGGGCTGCGGCTGATGAGGAGGTGGCAATGGAGGGTGCAGAGGCCCCTTTCATTCCAAAACAGAAAAGCAACAGATGACAGACAGATTTCAGTGTCGCCCAATCCAACATTCTGCTCAAAAGCCTCAACAGAGGACACTTCACACTTCAGACTGAAGAAGGTGATACTACTCTCTCGTGTGCAGTGATAAACCAACTCTAACTTACATTCTGTTTGTCCTAAGCCTTTTCTGTTCAGAAAGAATCTATCTAAAGGAACTCATTGTTGATGTGAATAAACACACAGTCTCAAGAACATTCCTCCCAGCCCTAAGACACGAGTAGCAGAACCGAACCCCAGGGGAACCTCTGTGACACAGGAAAGGCAACTCCCACAGGGGGCTCGGTGGACATAGTGAAAGACAACAGCTGACAAATTACCCGGGGAGAAAAGCACGAGTGTGAGAGCATGCTGCTCCAAGACTGAAAAAATATGCACCCTACTTCACGGTAATGGAATGGTTTAATTCCCTTTTCTTAAACTTAACTATATTGTACCATGTCTCAGTGAAGATTATATTTTTTAATAAAAAGAACTTGGAAAAACACTTATTTAATGAGAAGTAGAGGCATGGCTCAAATGGAAGTGATCCAGCTAAGGACACAACCTGGAGTTCAAGCCCTAAGACTGACAAAATGTAACAAAAGTAAAACTTTAAACAACACAACAATGACAACAACAGCAAAACCCTATTCTTAACTCTCTGTTAACACTCTGTATCAAAGCCATTTACCTGCTGTGGCTTAGATTCCTATGTTCCTATCTATTTTCCGGCAGTGCTGACTCAAGTGCACCACCACTGTATACATCAACTGTAATTTACATACAAGAAGAATGGTGTAAGAGAGGAAGGCGTTCACTCCAGCCCAGGAGGCACACCGACCAGCAGAGGGCACACAAGTCTGTCAGATACTAAGTGGAGAGCACGATGGTTTACCTCCCACAGAGAAAGGTCATTTCACTGTACAATGCAGAATAATCTGACCAAGTATTCCATTTTTAAGTAATCTCACGAAGGCAAACAAATACAGTACCAAAACATGTCTTGATTTTATTAGTAGTGCATCCTTTAAAAACAAAAATTGAGGGCTGGGAAGGTGGCGCAGTGGTAGAACGCTTGCCTTGCATGCCTGAGGCCCTGGGTTTGATTCCTCAGCACCACATAAGCAAAAAGAAAAAAGCCGGAAGTGGCGCTGTGGCTCAAGTGGTAGAGCACTAGCCTAGAGCTGAAGAGCTGAGGGACAGCGCCCAGGCCCAGAGTTCAGGCCTCACGACCAGACCCAAATAAATAAATAAGCAAATAAATAAATAAATAAAACGAGGCGCTGGGAAGGTGGCTCAGTGGTAGAGTGCTTGCCTTGCATACATGAGGCCCTGGGTTCGATTCCTCAGCACCACATAATCAGAAAAAGCCGGAAGTGGGGCTGAGGCTCAAGTGGTAGAACGTTGGTCTACAGCTGAAGAGCTGGGGGACAGTGCCCAGGCCCAGAGTTCAGCCCCACAACCAACAAAAAAAAAAAAGAAAGAAAAGAAAAAAAAAACTAATAGTGATTTTTTTCAATTTTCCCCAAATGATAATCATTTATTCCACATCTCCTAGTATTAGATAATGAAATCTTCAAAGAATTGATCTGTGATGAAGATAACTCTAAACAACTACAAACTAGTGCACTGGAATGGTTCCATGGCCATGCAACCCAAAGCCTCAGAGGCACATGCACCTGGTTTTCCTTAGGGTAGCTTGTATTACACACCTGCAGGCTGGGCTGCGCATGTGAGGGCAGGAAGGGCTGTCCAGGGCTGGGCAGAAACGGCTGTCTAGGAGGAATGAAAGGCCGAGAGGCTGCTGACCCTGGCTGGCTAAAGTGCAGGATCCCCACTGGACCTGGGGGCTGCAAGGCTGGCCTTACGGGCCTTTCTCTCGGGAACACTGGCTGCTGTCCTTGCTGATTGAATGCTGGTCCCGGCTGAGTGAACGGTAAGGGGTTCTGAGCAGGAACAGGGTGGCTGCTGTTCAGTAGTGTGGGAGGAGGCGGCGGTGGAGGAGGACTTCGCTGTTCCAAGAAAAGATGACTGGGGAACCTCGGTTCACCTGAAACTGGAGAGTAAAAGAGCATTAACTGCAAATTAGAAAGACCACACGTGTCTTACGTCAAGTCATTTTGAAAGTGTCTGTGAACAAAATTGGCAAATATTGGAAGATTATACTTAAGAAATAATTCTAGATTTGACCTCTTTATTTCTAGGTTGCTTTGTAGACCAGTTTCTATGAAAACTTTCCTCCTCTGCAAGAGTGTCACATTTCAGATACCAACATTGTCCAACATTCACATCAGATGGGCAGGACCACTGTACAGTGAGCCCTGAACCTACAAACAACATCTCCAATTGGATGTAAATTCAGCATTATTAGGAACTGCTCAGGTGTATCACCTAATACAGCTTCTGCATACCATCCTGTCCAGTCACCCTTCCCTATGTACCTCCCAAGAAGAAAGGGTCTCGATCCTGGGGTGGGGGTGGGGCTCTCCACTGGTCCTGCAGAGGAAGTCGGGGGGGCTGGCTGAAACTGTTGGGCACAGGTCCAGGTGTGTGCTGTGGAAATTCTGGGGGGCCCTGAAGAACATAAAAACCCAGGGTGAAAAACAGAATATTCTGCTATTTTTCAGAAATGTACACAATTCCAAGCTATCTTCCATATCAGTATGGACAACCAGACTTCTCATATGCCCCCCTCTACATATAAATATCCACACATGCATATATAAACATTTTACAAAGTGATTCTGCTATAATGAAATAGTCAAAAATAAAAATGCATGTGTTGTAATATTATCAACAGCAGGGAGATTACTATTTTACAGCTTATTGAAATCTATGCAATTACTGACCTTTTTTCCCACTAATCCAATAAACTACTTTGGACATTCATGACATTTATCTTCTCAAAGATGCTATTCTTTGTTATCTACTTAACAAGAGCATAGCTACAGCTATGCTATAGTACCTAAAGGTACTTTACTTCAAAAAAATAAAAAGAAATTCAGTTTGTACTATAACAGAAAAATGTGAATTTGTTTAAGAAGCCAAATTACAAGTATTACATTACAGTCAGATAAAAAATTGTCATAGACTCATGTTTGCAGCAAAATGCTATAAAGACAAAGTACAAGTGCTTCATTTTCCGATTAGTCTTTTAATCATTCATGAAATTTTTAAACCATCCTACTTCCCTAAGAAGCAACATCTAAAGAAACATTGTTCCTGAAAGAACTATTAGCCACAACCAAAGTAATCCTTTCGTTTTCACTGGATGTCATCCTTGAAAATGTGCAAGCATTCCTCCACTTTAAAAGGCACAGTTGTCCCTCATCTACTTGAAACCCTAGTGTTTGTCTGTCATTCAATGTGACCTCACACTCTGTAACACTGGCAATGCCTCTTCTGATTCCTCAAACACTCCATAAGCCACAAGCCAGGAAGCCTACACACTACCCAAAATGATGCCAAAACATTAGGCAAAACCAGATAATCCCAACACAAGTACTTGGAACTTAGTGAACAGTAGGGGGACAGAGAAACCCAAAGGTCAAACTCTTGCAGCTGTAAGGATGTCAATTGAGATAAAACCAGAGTAGTAGATGTTACACACATGCGGTATTTCCTACACATCATTAGAAAGGCTTTTTAATAAATGTAGACATGTTTAACAACAACGTTGTTTTGATGTGGTCATTTCTTAGTATCTTTACTTTGATAAGATGATAGAAAAAAATATTTCCTTTCTTTCTTTTTGTGAAACTCCTTCTACATGCTAAGCCAAGTGCTCAGCTACTTGAACTACATCATCTTTTTTCATTTTTTTGAAACAGGGTTTTGTACCTTTGCTTAAGGTAACCACGAACAGGTGATCCTTAGCCTCCACCTCCTCTGAAGATGGAATGATGCGTGTGTACCCCCATACCTGGCTCTCAAACACCTTTCTAACAACACAGGTTAGAAATAGGATGCACAAACAGTTCCAACTGATTTGCCTATTTTCTTCCAGGATTCAAAGGCTGTATTTTAAAAATATCTTTACTCTTTTATATGAAGCTAATTAAAATACAAGGTATGCAACCGCCCTTCTCCTTGCCCTGTCAAGTACTAAGTGCCAGGATTATGAACACAGACCACCACGGCCACATTCAGAGATGTTTTTCAATAGTCATTATAACTTCCTGGATAACACATTAGTGATCAAAGACACAGGGTTACCACCCTCTCATTTGTGGAATGGTCAGACTAACTGCATGGCCTTCACCCCAAGCAAATTTGGAACTCTGGCCCAGAGTCAAACTTTAACTGAGTGTCCAGGCTGGCTTGTCCTTGTAAGTTGTGTGAGGATGCACTGAACTTCACTTCCTGAAGGGAGGGAAGGGACGCAAAGGAGGCATTCAAATAGACCAATACAAAAGAAACCAGTAAGGCACATTCAAATATGAGACTCATGAGACGCCAGAGCAAACTTATTCTACTACTGAGTAGCTTCAAGGGACTAGTCCAAAACAAGCTAGTGCCTGTAATAGGTAAGAAAATCTTGGTGATTTTGATGAAAAAGTGATATTTAGCTGAAAGATAGGAAAAATAACAACCCTTTATGTTTGACTAGTGATAGGTGAACACTCTTCTTCAGGTAACTGATTCAGTTACTGACTGGCAGGACCACCTGACCCCAATGACCTGGGGGTCATTTCCATGAAATTACACATGGCTGTTTTCCTGAAGGACTCACTGCAGGACACAGGGTGCTTGTGTCAGTCACTAGGAGCTGTAGCTGGCTCTCAGCGAAGCCAGGGACTTCTGCTTACTCTTTGACTCCCTTGGTTTTGCTCATAATTACAACAAGCCTTCATGATTTCATATGAAGCCAGACTTGCTTCTGCTTTTACTAGACTCAGAGATCTAGCAGAATGTAGGTTCGGTGTGAAATCTGCATTATTGGTGGAACTGCGTGGCTGCAGGGCAGAGCTGCAAGTGTCAATTCAACAGTTCTGATCACGTGGCTGAAAAGCTCTGGAGAAACTCCTCCCCACCCCACTTTCCCCTTTCCATCAGACACAGCCAATGTCAGGTCCTCCGAGAAGAGTTTTCTCATTATAGATAAGGCAAAATGTGACTGGAAAAAAAGACTGGCTCCCACTCTTCCCTAAGTGGAAGGTCTGTTAAGTTTTGATTTTCGTCTCTGCTAGAGAGGTTGAGACCTTTGCTTAACTCCCTACATCCTTTCCTTACAAAAAGAAACTCAATAAACCTTGAGATGCTTGCAAACTAGGTTCACATTACTTCCCTAAAAATTGTTTTAAGTATCTGTAAGGCTGTTATTTTGTTTGTTTGGTTGTATGCTTATTTGAGCTCAGGGTTTCAAGGTTGCTGGGCTTTTTGCTCATAACTGGAGTTCCATCACTTAGCTATGCTTCCAGCCTTGCTTTTTGCTGGTTATTCTAGAGTCTGGGCTGGCTTCATCTTGGATCCTCCACATCTTAGCTTCCTGAGTAGCTAGGATCACAGGGTGAGTCACCTTCATCCAGCATTAACTATTCAAAACGTCTAAAGATAGTTGTGTGTATTACACAGAAAATACATTGGGATCTCAAATCTGGCCCTTTTGGAATGTTACTGTTATTTATCTCTTCCTCAAACTTTCTTGTACTAAATTCTCCATGTGCTATCTAAATAGATATTGACAGGCACTGCCTTATGATATACAACAAAGCTTCCCAATTCTCTCATCTGCTCAGTAGAACATGATTAACTTGGGCAATGGCAGAGAAGAACTTTATTCTAACTTTTAGATGCACCTGCAAAGGAGCTCATCTGAGAGAGCAGCACCTGTTCCCGTGTCTAAAAGACAGAGCCCTGAGTGCTATCATTCAGCCCAGCCACTCCCCAGTTGTAGCCCTGGGAATGGGGCTGATTTGGCCAGGGCTTCAGTTTATTGAGAACCAGAGTAACAATAGTACCTATATCCTTTTCTCATGGGGACATCAAAGCACTTACTTGGCCCAGCACCCATCAAATCATAGTCTAAAACCGGTAGGTGTCATCATCAGTTTTTACATGACATTTTCACAAATGGCAATTCAGGCTATAATGAAAACACAGAGCTTCTGACAATTTCCATATTTCTTTTTCTTTTTTTTTTTTGTCGATCGTGGGGCTTGAACTCTGGGCCTGGGCGCTGTCCCTCAGCTCTTCAGCTCAAGGCAAGCGCTCTACCACTTGAGCTACAGCGCCACTTCGGGTTTTCTGGTGGTTTATTGGAGATAGGAGTCTCACGGTCTCTCCTGCCCGGGCTGGCTTTGAACCGCGATCCTCAGATCTCAGCCTCCTGAGTAGCTAGGATTACAGGCGTGAGCCACCAGCGCCAGGCTCCATATTTCTTTATAAGGTAAAAGGTAATAGCACAGATCCACCTCCTGCATTCACTTCTATGTTCAAATCAGAAAGCCTTCATAAATAAGGCATAAGTTCGGTCTCCCAGTTCCTTTGTCCACTCCTCTCCCTCTCTAGCCTACGAGAGCTGGGTCAGGGAGGGACAAGGCTAGGTCTGCTGTGGACACCAGTATGTGTCTGTGTTTGGTAAAGGACTTGGCACACAGGCCATCATGGATGTTGAATGGATCAATGAACTTCCTGTTTCTAACAGCAAGCTGATTTCATGTCCATAAAGCACACAGACACTTACTAAATGGCAGGCAGCATGAAGGCGGTATGGAAGGTTTAGATGTGCCCGAGGCGTTGGAACGAGTGGCTATGAAACAAACATACAGTATACTAGAAGGACAGGCAAGCCAAGATCTAGGATGATCTTTTGGTGACCAAAAGAATAAACAGATCCAAGTTCTCCAGTGACTGAACTTGATCCCTATCATAACTATGCAACATCAGAAGAGAGGGAAAAGGGAGAGACCAGGACTGCCTTTTCCCCTGCAACCAATTCCCCTATTTCAAGCCTGTAGCTCTTCTTTGAAGAAAGAGTTATTCAGACAGTCCAGTGTCTGCTTCCACACTGGTCAGAAGCACATGCCTCCAGCCAGCCTCCCCAGCTCTACTACAGAACTGAGTGAAATTCCTGTAAGAGACAGGAAACTCCTTTTCCTCAAAAGATGGTATTTAGCACTAATTCCTCATACCCCACATAAATAACATCAAGGCATTTTACAGGGTCAAGTCCTAAGTGTAAATACAGATTGACAAATTTGGATTATGCATGTTACAGTAAAAATCGCTCAAGGAAGAGTAAAAGACAGGAGAAAGTCTGAACAAAGGCAGAATAACTCATTTTGTATGTAAAATTTTCTGAATTTGCCCAAGTGGTTAATGTCTATGGATGGAAGTTAACAGAAAAAAATAATGCATTATGCAGTGCCAAGCCAAGGGGTCCCAAACTATGAAATTAGTCTGTACCAAAGACTACTCCTGGACAGGACATTTGGGAGCCAACTAGGTCACAGAGCCATAACCTATATACTGCCAAGGCTACCCTGATTTATGAGCACTGCTTCTCCAAGGAATGCCTGACATAGTAAGAGAGAGAAGCATGCTGCCTCAGGCTCACAACTCTAGATTAAGGA